CAGGAATATCATGAAAGTCAAAAGGAAAAATGATATAAAACATCATAGAGAACTTAACGTCTTTACAGAAACTACAGAGATTGACTGCATGCTTAGCAAATTTGCAGACATTGCCAAGTTGGGTGGAGTTAAAGGGACCCAGAGTGACCTGGATAGACTGGAGAAAAGGTCCACAATCAAAAAGATAAGATTCAACAATACTTAACTGATTTGGGTCAAACTGGTTTATGCAAAGTCTGTCCCAGACCCTTTGCTGGTTTAAGATAAAGCAGACTCCCCCAGCATCCCGGCATGCTCTCTGGGCTGGGCGGGGCTCTCTGCTCCACAGCACAGCTGGCCCCTCCCCTCTGCTCCCTGGCTAGAGCTTCAGCAGAGACTGCAGGCTGCTCTCCCACTCCTTCTCATCACTCCCTGCCAACCAGGAATTCCCCTCTCCCCTCTGTCTTGCTGAGAGGTGTCTGTCTATTAGCTAGCAGACCACATGCTGGCTACAGTCTATGCTGTGGCAGATGGGACAAAGGCAGAATCAACAGGTAGTTGGTAATGCTCCTCTGTTGTTTTCTTAATGGGGTGATAAACACTTAGTTAGGGGTGATAAACACTTATCAATTCCCTGGTGGGCTGGTCAGGAGGTGGGGAACTTCTCCCTAATCAGAGCATCCTGCTGGGGTCTGGCCATGCTCCCCTTAACTTAGTGCTATGGAAGGGAAGGGAGGGCTGCTCTAGCATCCTGCCCCCCTCCCCCCCCCCCCCCGCTTTTCAGCCCCCCCCCCCCCGTATGTCTGGGATGTCTGTGCAGTTACAATCTGATTTAACCTAGCTAGGTTAGACTAACCTGCAAAGACTGAATCAATTCAGGCTCAGGCTTTCTGAATATCTGTCCCTAGCCTATGAGGGTGGCTAACAATTGGAACAGGCTGCCTAAAGAAACTATGTAATCTCCATCCCTGGAAGTTTTAAAAAATCAGGTTGGACAGACAGCTGAGACTGTTTAGTCAAGAGTGATCCTGCCTTGAGCAGGGGGCTAGACTAGATGACCTTCTGAGGTCTCTTCCAGCCCCACTTTCCTATGATCCTAAATTCAAGTCAGTCAAATAGAATTTCTCCTGCAGAACCAAATAAGTGGCTTCAGAAGTCAAGGAAAGGACTGTTTAAATGAATAGGTTTTTTTTTTTTTACTATTTTTTTACTCTGGACAGATATAATTAATCCACTTAATAAACAGAAAGTCATTTCTATAATCCAGGCCTCAATTCCTCTATTTATAAAATAAGGACAACAATATTTACTGACTTCCCTAATTTTGCAGTTACCATTTCTTTCCCCCACCTGAACTGTATATCTAAGTAACAGAAACCTTTAAACTAGCAGCTGGAAATATCTGTTTTTTTCTAGATTTTTTTTGAAAAAAGAAATAAAAAGGACCTCTTGGTTCACTGAATCCAGTCTTCAGCTACCACAGGAAACCACATCACAGAATCCCATTCATAAACATTTTATAAAAGTATCTTTATGAAGCTATATTTTGTGAAGGCTGGCTTTAAGCATTTTGACCTTGGCTTGCTTCTTTAAGGAATGTTGCTACAGTTTTTGTCTGTGAAAAGGCACAGTACACGGTGATATATGCCTTTTTATCTTTAGATCTATTTTGGGACATTCTTTATCCTAATCACACACTCTCTTCTTAGTTAGCTATCGTTACCAAAATTGCTCTCTCTGGTAAGAGGTATGAAAGACAGCAGAAAAGTTTGTTGTCGTTGTTCATGAGATAAAAGTAGAATAAATGACATGACAAAATTAGGAGAATAGCATTTTATAGCTATTACCCAATAACATGGGGAGAGTTATGAGGACATGGGAGATCAGCACTATTGGGCCAGAATCTCATTCTGAAAGTCAAGGTACTTAAATTTTAGCACATTTATAATTTTAAAAAGTGCAAGCAAGGAGCATATTTAATATTTTTTTAAACAATGCACAAACAGATGTAGTGAAAAATATCTCTGATTTAACAAGAAACAAGCTGAAGTGGGTAAAACATGAATAGAATACTTGCAATAACAAACCATTAAATTGAAAGGATTATCATTTTAATCCTTTTAATCCTTAAAGAATCTTTTAATCCTTTTATCTTTTTTATACAGAGCCTTAACTTTGGAGTGACTACTGTTAACTCCCTGATGCCCTCTCTTAGCAGGTAAAACTACTGGTTTACCATAAGCATAGTAAAATAATATGAAACATCCCACTTTTTGAGGCCTACCAATACATCTATATCCACATTTTGGCCATAAATTTGGGGCCTTAAATTAGATAACTAGATGGATAGAGAGAAAGAATTTCAAGGTATTGAAGTCTAAATACAAGTAACAATTTAGTGTGTTATGACTTCTTATTCAGTGTAATGAACTATACTCAGTAATGAGCAAAAATAAGTTTTCAGTGAAAAATGAATAAATACAGAAGCTCATTAGCTGGTAAATTGAGAAGGTTTTGGATAAAGCAATCTAGATCATAGAAAGCTAATTTTACATCAGCAATGATTAATACAGCAAGACTGAATTACATAGATTAAGAGCGCTACTCTCCACATATTTCAGTATGCTAGATAAACTTTCTAAGATGGAAGGTTAATTACTGTGAACCAGGAATGTCTAGATTTTTTTTCTTACATTAATTGTCTATTCCAAGAAAGGGAGGAATTATGCCAATGAAAAACCTGAAAGTTAATTAAAAGAAAGCCAGTCACAGCAAGACACTTAGTACCTGTTGGCAAATGTGTTCCCATTGAGCATTGAGTTCTTTTAGTTCTGTCTGTATTCTGGAAGCAAACTCTGGCTCTGCTTCATTTCTCATCTTCTTTCCAACCTCATTAACACCGTTCAAACTGGGCTGGATTGTCTGGATATCATTTACTAAGGCCTAAAGGAATAGTAGAGGTTTATGCAAGCAGCATACAAAAATACAGTTGTAGATATCCCATCTCTAAATAAATAAATAATTGGTGTAGATTTGAACTGAACTTACCACAATCAACGTATATAACATTATGTAAAATACATAGAGTGGAAGAATGAGAAACCTTTAATTAGTTTATGAGATTAGTTCTTCTATGAAAGAAATAAAACAGTTTTACCTTCAGTGTTTAATGGTTCTTAATAAACATTTATACAATGTTATGATGTTGAATTGGTTAAGAGAGAAATGGGGCTTCTTCTGAGCCATGTTAGCACCTCTTTTCTCATGCTCATGATACAAACGGATTGTAAAGACATCTTGTTTGACTATCAAAGAGCTGTCCCTATGGAGGTGACTCTAGGAAGTTACCTTCTGATAGTGGCCAAATTCAGGTTTTGGTCATGTTATTTCCAGATACTGAGCTGACCCTGAGGCTGTAACTATAAGAATGTAAATTGGATCAGTCCAAAGGCTGTTTTCAATTGCACAAGGGAATGAAGCCCAGCCTTGAGCCTGCCCCAGTCCTGTGTTCACTTAAATCACTGGCCTAAGATGGGTAGTAGGCCGTAAGAAGGTAGCATAAAACTACTTTTATACTAAAACAAACAGCTAAAACAAAGTCCCAAAATTCACAATCTAATTTGGACACCCAAAGGGTAAAGAAATAAAAAGATTAATTAAGGGAGGGTGGCATGATGTTTAAAGCAAACAAAAATGTGTTGCATTAGAGAGATGGAAGTAGGACTAATGAGAAGGAATAAATTGAAAAGGAGAAGTCAAAAACAGCAAGCAAGGCATGGCCTTGTCCCCATGTGCAGAGGGCCTGGAAAGCTCTGCAGCAGCAGCTGTCTCCCAGTTCCCTGCACATGAGGACCCCTCCGAATGTGTACGGGACAAGGAGATAGCTGCCGCTGCAGCTGGAAGAGCTCTGCTGGCCCCATGTGCATGGGAGCTAGCCCAGAGCTCCCTGCCAGCCCCCAGGTTAACACTCTGGGAAAGCCTGGAGCTCCCCCTGGGCTGCTGCAGGGAGCCAGAGCAGGGTAGGAATAGCCCTGTACCAAGCTGCTCCCCGTGGGAGCAGATTTACTCCCAACAGGGAGCATGTGTAGATGTGCTCCCAGGGGAGGCTTACTGCACAGTATTTTATCACATAGTAAGCCTTTATAATATTAACAGCACATGTAGATGTGCCCAGTAAAAAATAAGAATTTGCCCATGTAGCTTATAAGGAAGGAGTAATATAGAAACATAGAAAGTTGCTCAAGGGTTTGTAACCCTGGGAGTTCAATGTTTGTGTTTCACAAGTCTACTCACTGTGCCAAAGCATTTACAGAGTTTATAAATTTCATTAAACAAATAGATATGGATTATTAAAGGTTACAAGATTCTTTGCACTTACAACCTTGGTTGGGATAGTCAGAGGAGTTTGTAAACCCTGTGATAGAAATATCAATATTTCATGATGCTATAATACTACTGGAACAACCCTGGAATTGTAATTTTTGTGGGAATAATGAATATAATTCATAGTCCTCATAAGTTCTTCTGGCAAAGTCAGAACAGCCTATAAATAATAAGTGAATAATAGGTACATCAAAATCTCTTCTGGCACAGATTACATAATAGACGATAAATATATATGCAGAGTCCTCAGTAATCCAAATAGATGGTTTTCAGAAAATTGGATAATAGTGAAGTCAGATTTTTCCCCCTAATGTTTATAAAGTGAATGATTTTGTACAAAATGTGAGCAAGTTAATATATGTACCCTACAGTGTCTATAAAAAAAAGAGATCTTGTTCATGATAATTGTGTGTCAATAGACGTATGAAGTATATTCTGAACAAGTTATATAAGACTTGATGTCAAAAACCTCCCATCTGAAAAAAATGTGTCCACTGACTTAAATAAGAGAAGTAGATATTTAACACCTCTGAAAACAAGAAAATTATTTTCTAAGAATGTTAGATCTAAGTTCTTTGGGAGGGGTTGACTGGGTTTTTGAAACCTATATGTTCTACAGAGAATGCTTGCAGACAATGTTCACAATTTAGGTATACACACTTCTGACACATCCAGCAGAGTCTGTAAATGCCACAAGGTACACTACTTTTATTTAAGAAGTATACACAAGTTCTGTTTGTAAAGCCAGCAAAGTTTCTAAATGTTGTGAGTAGGGAAATCATGGAACTACTGTATAAATAAGATGTTTCCATTCTCCCTGTGCCCAAAGGAGTGAAGGAACTCTCATAAGTAAAGCTCTTTTTATCTGCTTAAGCATGTTTACTCTACCCATCCCATGACAGCTGAATGTCTACCAGAAAAATTGTCACCATAGATATGCCTGTTTTGTCCATACTGTCAGTCATTTTCCTGATGCTGCAGAATGTGTGTGTACTCATGGGCCATTCTTAAATGCATGTTTATTTTTTGCTGTTGTCTGTGCAGCCTGCCACCTTTATTTCAGGCTGCCTAAAGAAGGTGCTACTGTGTAATGCAACAACAGCCAATTTTGTCACTCTTTTTGCCTAAATGACAAGCTATCATAACATTGTTATAAGAAGAAAAGTAGAAAATATATTGTTCCCAAGAGATGGTCATCCTAAATGCTAATTATTTTTTATAATTTAATTTGCACAAGTACCTAAATGCTAGGTGTTTTCCAAATGATAAGAAAGTTCCCCACACCAACTCCTTCCAAGAATGTAATAGTATAAGAATTGTCATGCCTGTCTTTCCTGTTCTACCCATGCTAGAAATACTGTAATGATATAGTAACACTGTATCTGCCTCCTTTTGGTATATTCAGCCTCTCACCCTAACCCCTTTTAAGCATTTTCTCCAAAACCAGATATTTGAGAGGTTCTTACCAATTGAATAAATGAAAGAAAACAAAAGCAAAGCACAGTCAGATTTAAATTTATTTTTAGAGAGGATGAAAATCTGTGGTGTGGATACATGTAACAAAATATTTCAAATGCCTTTCAAACATTACAGAGGGCCAGCTGGACATGCTTACAACCCCTTTGAAATGTTCCCAAAGTGGCTGAAAGACTCCGAAATAGGACCTCTTGAAACAAAGTTATATTTTATGATGTCTTACTTCTTGGTTCATCTAGATGGGCAGATGAGTCAAGTAAGGTAGACAGCCTGCTAGGTCTCCAGCCACTTGGTCATGCTCTGGGACCTGGGGCACTGCTGGGTCACCCTCACACATTCCCAGACTCACATACCTGCCAGACTTGGGGCTACTTACTTCTCCCACAATGTCCCCTATTACCAGATCCCTGAAAATTTTAGGGACCCCTGTTGGCATCAGAGGTAGGCTCTCCAATCCAATGCCCTCTCTCTGAAAGGGAGAAGGGAGAGGTAGAGAAGATTGGGATCAGAGTGTCAGACTTCTCATGGCAGAGGAACCCTCCCATTTGTAGCATGAACTTAACTAATGTAGCTGATGTTAACATCAAGTGTAATAATAGTGAAATGTAACCATGTTAGTCTTGTCCTGTAAGCAACTTGAAAACTCCATTTTTGTATCCTTCTGCTTGACGTAAGTGAATGAACTCTGCATAGCCTTTATGTAAGAGTTTGTGTAAAAGGGTGAATGTTGAGAGAATGTCATAGATACAGGAGAAGAAGATTCAACTTTTTATGTAACAAGGCACCAAATGTAAGTTACCAACCACTAACTAGCTAACAAACGGCTGAAGAATCCCTTTGAAGCGCGAGGGCACAAAGGAGATAACAGACGAAGAAATTCTACCAGACGGGCAACAAGAACAGTCCAAGGCTAAGACAAACTGAAGACAAATGAAGAACAACCACACAAACAGAAGATGAGTATGGACAAACCCCAAAGTACTGAAACAAAGAATGCCAAACCCTATAAAAGAACACTTTGAAAATGCCAAGTTGGATGAGTCTTTTTCTCTACTGCTGTTTCATCGGAGCACAGATGCATCTGTTCACCCTGCTCCAGCTGTTATCTTCAAATCTGCTATCTTCAAAACATCACCATCTACTTAATAAGCCCAGGTTGGCCACCCTGGGCTGATATTGAGCAACTATTGCTGGTAGGTATATCTGGTGTATGTGTGGATGAAATGGTTGTTGTGTATGTGTATGTCTGTGTGTAAAGATGTGTATGATGATTTGTGTGTGTTTGTATGAATGGTGTGTCCGAACCTCTTTGTCTAACTCATGTAATCAATAAATGCGGCACCGTGCCTTATCCCCCTTTGTGAAGTCTCACTTGTGATTTGAGCAACTGGCAATTTGTGTAACACATTAACGCATGTACCTCTGCTCATCAGCTTTCTTCTCTCCCCCTTGCCTCCTGCCCCTGTGACGGGGTGAGTGAGAAGTGGAGCAGCAGGTTGCTGTAGCAGATGTGTTCTGGCACTAGAGCAGGCTGCAGGCTTTTGAAACATTCTCGATAAGAATGTGCAAGAAGCACACATCCCTGGGATGAAACGTTTCCAGTTTTGTCTTTGCTGTCTGGCTCAACTCTTGTTCTATACAAACCTGCCTATTCAACTGGAAATACACACACAACAAGCAAGCACATTAGAAATACTTACTGTGCACTGTTCAAGCTGTTTTTCCAGTGCTTCTGAATCACCAAGGGCAGGCCATTCTTCCTGCAGAAAAACATCCACTTCAGCCATCCATTTCTTCAGGGTTTTAGTGTCATTCTGTTTATCAAAAGATATGTTATTGTATCATACAGACAGTGACTGGTGGTGATATTACTCATCATAGCACTATGACAACTTTCTCACAATTTAATTTGGAGATTCTAAGGCTGTCTGAAACTGCAAACAATCAAAATCACTTTTGGGGGGGACTGCCATTGGCCTGTATTCTCATAGTTCTTCTCTGAGCTATTTTTGTTTCAGGAATGAACAGCTCCCTTTACATTAATAAATTACAGAAACAAAATCAATGTAAACAATACAGGAACCTTGGCTTCAGCTTCTTACATAACAACAACAACAACAACAATAATACTTCACTTGCACAGAGACAGTTATATATATCCCACCTTGTTAAAGTTCTCAAACTATTTGCACTTGCCAGTTCTGTAAGGTTAACTTGTTTCATTAACTGGCAGAGCTCAGTATACAAAAAATGTCCTTGCAAAATAAAGCAGAAGCCCTATACTTGCTCTGTTAACCATGGTAGAGCAAGCTGCATGATTCTCTGGAAGGCCCAAAATGAATCAGCTAGGAGGTATACAGGAATCCTCATCTCAGTCCCCTCTTCTACCTGGGAGACCTTACATAAGCTCATGGCTCCAAGAGCCACTCCAAAGCACCTGGACTGTCACATGTATCAGCGTCCCCACACTGAAAAATGGTGGTGGGGGTGCTTTAACTAAAATTTGCTGAACAAGCTTTAGACTGCAGATATGCAGTCACTCAAAAATGGAGCTCGATCCCACAACAACACAGACTCAACAGTGCATGTCTGTTGAGTCTGGGGAATTACTGTAACTCATGGTGCTTTCTGTGAAGTGCCATGAGTTACAATGGGAAGTGCAAGTCTGTTAGCACCCTAGGCGTTCAGCCTCATTGGCAAGTTCCCTAACCAGTCAACCAGTGAGACTAAAACATGAGAGGGTCCTTGTAGCAGAACTGGCTCTGAGGGTGGCTGTAATACTCCCTGGTTTCTAAGCTATACCTGTACTACTCTGGCCTCTCAGGGTACTCTTCCTTTTTTGCCTTGCCTGCCACATCTTGATGGATATTATAATCCTTATGCAGATTGCCCCTGTTCACCTCACCACAACTTCTTGTGCCCAGCTGGCACCCGTCCTGCCCCTCAGACACTAAATCATCATGGCTCTATCTGTGTCTTAGGTTGTAAGTCACCACAGCGGCAACCATCATAGCCTTCCACCACCCCCAAAGCCATACCCACACTTCTCAGGTATTACTCAGTAGCACCTCAGAAGGGGCCCCTTGGCCCAAACTCGACATATGGCCCCTCAGACCCAAAACTTTTATCTGGATGCACCCCTCAGCCCAGGTCCACTGCCTTGGACCTTGGCTCCTGGGTCTCAGCCCTGCCTTGCTCTCATGTGCTCTGGGCCCCTGACCCTATCTCACTCTCCTTCCCATTTTCTGGTTTTCCAGCCCTAAACAAGGCTGCTACCTAACCCTGCCCCAGGTAATGCTACTCTTTCACTGCATAGCCCCTTGAGCTCCTGGCTCTTTACAGGGCTTTATGCTGAGTGCTCCTCAGGTGCCCCTGTTGCCTCCGAACCATCCCCATAGCTACAACCTAGTATTCTGGTTAAACTTAAACACAACAAAAACATAAGCAAACTGCTTTGAAACTAAAAATTACCCCCACTCTGGGTCACCACCCCACTGCAAATCATATTTTACCCTTAGCTCTCTCCTTCCAGCTTTCTTGAGTAGCTTGGGTGCCTGTGGGCCTATTTCCTGCAGCCACTCTCCCTAGGAGCTCCTCTCCATGTACCAAGCAGGGCCAGATTTACTGCTTTGCCTCCAGCACTGGGGCTTATATGTCCCAAAGTACAACCCCTTCCTAGCATGTGGCTTCCTAGCCATACATATGGGTTTCTCCTTTTCTTAATGGCCAGACTCCTCTCCTTTGCTGTAGCTCCTATACTTGTTGTTTCTGGTCTGCTTGCCTTCTAGCAACTGGACTTTGCCTAGTTGCCTACCCCATGCAGCAAGCCTAGTCTCTTGCAATCACCTCTTAAGGTAACAAAAGCCTCATGTTGTTACCTTGTTCATGGTAGAAACTAAAAAACTTGCACTTAGGTGATTATACGGGAACAAAATAGCAACCCATATATTTCAATTAGCACTTTAACACCATTAGAACATTAACACTGCAACAAAAAGGCGGGGGTGGGGAGAAAAGGGTAGGGGAGAAATGCAGCTGGTTTCTCCCCCTGACCCCATGAAACACAGAATACAAGTTGAGAACTGTTGAATTGCAATTCTTTTTTGACTCTCTTAAAAAAAAAGGTCAAGTCAGTGTTGATGAGAGCCACATTCAGCTTTGAAGTCAGTCATTTTCACTGTCTTCAATAAAGTAATAAAAAGGATCTCCCAAAGTATATCACCATTATGGTGAAATTTGAGAGAAATTAACACTCAGATAGAATCACACTTACTTCTTCAATACAGTAATCATTCTATGTTCTAATAATATATATATGTGTGTTTATATATGTGTGTGAGTGTGTGTGTGATCTATCTATCCATCTCACACACATAGATACATACATATAGATACATACACCCACACACACAGATATAAATACATACATATATACATACAAACACATAACCCCCTCACACACACATACACGCATACATGTGTACACATATAAAGAATAGGGCTGTGCAAAGCTTTGGTTGCTGATTCGATTTGGAGGAGATTCAGCCCAATTCGGTGGCTGAATCTCTGAATCCAAATCAAATCAAGAAACCAATAAAAAGGTCCAAATTGATCCACAGCCTCCAAATCGATTCGGAAAAGATTTGTAGATTTGGACAGTCCCCTCTCAGTGCTGCAGGGAGCTGGATCCCGGACTCCATGCAGGTAAGTAGGGGGCAGGGGGGAGAGGCTAGAGGGGGGGGGGCGGGGGGGGGCCCCCCCTCACCAGGTTCCATTCCCTGCCTGCTCCCCCAGCCCCTGTGAGTGTTGCCTGAGCCCTGCCTGTTGCCCCAGCCACATCAATGGTTGCCCCCCCAGCCCCAGTGTCGTGGCACTTAAAAAAAAAAAAAGCACAAAAAAAGCCCCGCACTCACTGGCTGCTGCAGCAGCCATCAGGACTTCTGGGGGCTCATAATAGAGCACTCCCATGCAACAAGGGGCAGCTGGGACCACCTGCCTCCCCCCCACCTGGCAGTAGCCAGTGAATGTGGGGCTTTTTTTTTGTTTGAATGTTTTAAGTGTTGGGATACTGGGGTCAGGCAGAGCAGCCACTGACAGGGCTGGGAAAGCAGGTGGGAGATGGGGCTTGTTCAATCTGGAGATTCAGCCAATTTAGAGACAGCTGAATCTCTGAATCAGATTTGGTCTAATCAATTCAGGACAATGATTCGTATGACTGAACTGAGTCACTGTCTCCCGAATCGTCTAAATCCAAAGCGAATACTAGCCACTTTTCACAGGCCTAATACATATATGGGAATGAGACCAGGCCCAAAGTGGTAGGCAGGGAAGGGAGGGAGCAGGTCCGGACCTGAGGCAGTACGGGGAAGGGGGGGGGAAGCTAACCCTGACCCATGGGGGTATACACCCATGTATATATATACACAGCTTTTATTGTGTATATATATTTGTGTGTGTGTGTGTGTACACGTATATATATATATATATATATATATATACACACACACACACACACACACACACACACACACACACCCCCTTACAAGCTGGCATGCGTGTGTGTGTGTGTGTGGAACACACACACACACACACACACACACACACACACATTAAAAGCTGCCTTAACTGTAAGGCAGTTAAGACAGTTAACTTACAACTGCCTTGTAAGGTAAAAGCACAACTGGAAGTGCCCACTGTGGCACTTGCGGTTTCACCAAGCCCTCACGGCCCAGGGCAAAGCAGCCTGCACTGCCAAACCCCCAAGGCTCAGGGCATAGCAGGCTCTGCAGGGACCCCCTCCCTGTCCTTTGGGGTCCACGGGAGGGGTGGCGATGCCTCGAGCATGACGGAAGAAGTGACAGCCCAAACAGGCAAAGACACCTGTTCAGACCTCTCAATTAACTGGCATATTTTGTTATCTGGCACCCCTCATTCCCCATGGGTGCCAGATAACAAAGCTTTTGCTGTATATGTGTGTGTGTGTGTACATTCATACACATAGACACAAAGATCTACGTGCACACACATATACATATTTTATATATATAAATATATATATATATACACACACACACACAACGGGTCAGGGTCTGGCTTCCCCCGCTTCCCCCCTACTGCCTCAGGTCCAGGCCCACTCCATCCCTTCCCCACCCACTGCTTCAGGCCTGGGTTCATTCCCCCCTCTGCCCCCCACCACTTTGGGTCAGGTCCCCCCCCATTGTTTTGAGTCCAGTTCCCCCTCTGCTGCTTTGGGTGTGGGCCCATGCACTCCCTCACCCCTTGCCATTCAACCCTATGCCACTGCCTCCCAGGAATGGGGGGGAAGGGAGCTTGCATATGGCCAGTGGCACTCATGGGCAGTGACGGGCAGTGGGTGGCGGCAGCTGGAGCTGCCCATGTTGCAGCAGCAGGCAGCCATGGCTAGTGACATGCTGCCACTCGTAACCCCCTCTTTCTCTTCCTGCTCTCCTCCCTCTCTCCCCTCTTCCCCACTGCCTCCCCCTCCCTACCACCTGTTGTTGGTGGGGCCCTCCAGCTCCTGGCTCCAAGGAGCATGGCCAGGAGGGAGGCAAAGCCAGCACTGCTGGCCTTGCCCCCACCCTGCTCCTGCCCCTCAGTCCCTGCTGTCATGATGGTGCTCCACCATGTGGGGAGGGAGAGGCCAGCACTGCTCTGCCAGCACCCCGCATTGCTGCCGCCTCCAAGCATCATGGCAGTGCTCTGGTCCCTGCTGTCTCCCTCTGCCTCCAAGGAGCAAGGGCTGGGGTAGGGGTGAGGTGAGTGCCGCTCCAGCCCCTCAGTCCCTACTGTCATGGTGGTGGTCTGCTGTGTATCTCTGTACAGAGCACTCTGGCTGCCAAGACAACTAATCAGAGTGCAAATAAAGCATGACAGACAGACAGACAGACAGAGTCAAAGGTATTTATAATATTAGAATACATATACATACAAAGATACACACACACACACAAAGACCCGCACACACACATACATATATACACATACATGTATATATGTATGTGTGTGTGTATATAGGCAGACAAGGTTCTTTGGGTAAATCCAATATTTTTATTAGACCAAGTATTTGATTTGAGTTCTTTACCCAAGGAAACTTGTTTGCCTATGTCCTTAGACCAACACAGCTACAACCTGCACCCCTGAAATATATGTCTTATGCCACCAGGCATAAGTTAATCAACAAAAGTAAATGATACAACAGTGATGAATATATTTCATGATAGCAATTGTCAAATGAGCTATTTAATGCAACTGCTTCTCTATTTTGTTCTCAATGTTAAAAGTAATCTAAAATCAGAATTTATGAGGAAAATTTATTTCTTAACATTCATGGATTAAGCATTGTTCACTAATGAGAAAAAACACAGATATAAACACATGCTGATCAAGAATGTAAGGGTTACTCCAAATACTATTTTAGACCAACAACAGAAAAAGGCTTGAATTCTGAAATTGGTACAGATAAGGGCCTTACCTAATTTCACCTAATGGAGATCTAAGTGGCATTTAGGCATCTAAGTGTAATCATATCACTCCCTGCTCGAGTTCATGAAAACTTATTAATAAAAAAGGTGGTCTTCTTGATGCTTTCTGTGACAACCTTAAAGCTAAAATGAAGGAGTGTTACAAAAGTAGATGTGTTAACAGCTGTTTAATGACTGAAGGAGGGTGGAAGAAGATTGTACTTACATGCCTAAATGCCACTTAGATGCCTAATAGATAGGATAGGATCTGGCCCTAACTAACTATAATTTTTATCTGTGATCAGTAGTGATTTGAACATATAGTTTATGGCACACTCCATTAAGAAACAATTGCAAAGAAATTACCAAAGCAAGAATTTTGAAGGTAACTACACATTCCAACTATACTCAAGGACTGCAAAACCAGTAAGTTTTTAAAGAATTGCATACTACCAGTGATCCTAATAATACAATGACTGCAAAGGCTAACAGAGCAGTCATTTTGTATTCAGCTATAGCTCACATAGTTTTTGAAAATATATATTTTACTGGGTAAGGTAATACTGTTCAGCATCCTGAGATTTGTCACCTTCTCTTTTTAGGGTGGCAGTGTTATCTTCTTTAACTTCTCTCTGAAAAGTCAGCAATAATGCATAAGCAACAGATCTAATTAGCACTTGGATGAAAAGGATAGTACCTTAAATATATTTGCTAACATTTCATTATACTACGGTAAAAATAAACCAAACTCTGGTATTCCTCTCCTGTTCTTCAATTTACCTTGAAGGTAAGAGCGCTACCAAGAGAAACAAACCTGCATTTTAGTGTTATTCAACTCCTGTGGTGATTGCAAAATTGCTGTATTGGTGATAATATAATCATTATCTTTCACATTTTTGTTTACTTAAAACATTGCCCGGTAGCAAAAGAAAAGTGATTAATGAGTTTTTTGGTCTTTTTCAACTGGGATTATCTCTGCTGAAACTGGGATGCAGTAACATCTAAACCCTACTGACAGATCATTTATTCTTGCTCAGAGGATTGTGTTGGATTCACCAGGAAACGGCAGTCAGCTCATAACCTATTGTGTTAAGAGCTATAATATAAAAGTAATAATAAATTATATTCTACTTTAAAGACCAAGGCCAAGGATATTCATATATTTACAATATTCATCATTCTAAAACGAACAGTGTGTGGGAATCTATGTTATGACTGTTAGCTCTCGGTATGACTCCAGGGCTTCAACCTTTATTACTTTCATTGCCTCTCCTTTATAGTATTTAAATGGTTATTTGCATGGAAGTATAACGTATTTTGTTCAAAATACTTTGCATATTTTGATGGAACCTTATGTAACCTTTAAGGTTACATAAAAAGGAAAGAGGAATAAATACATTCAAAACGGTTACATAAATGGTCTTCACAAGATATGTTAACAATTCATGGCTTACATCTTTCACATGTCACAAACAACTAGATTCAGAGGTGTTCCCTTCCTATTTTTATATTTATCTAAGATACAACATGTGGGAATAGGTGGTTTACAAACAAATATGAATAATATATCCTTACTACAAGGAAAATCCTGATACTTGACTGGTGATGTCAATATGCTACCACAATATACGGAATGATATCATCAACAATAGATGTGGACCCAGTAAAGTCAATACAGTTTATGTTGCTTTCATGCATAAATGTTTGAAAGATTAGATCTCTGGTGATCTGATTCTGTTCCCACTCAGTAATCAATCTGACTTCACTATGAGCAAAAATAGCCAAAAGGTAAGAAGTCAGTGCAAGATTCTCATTCAATTGAACTCAACTAAAAAACAGTTATCAATATCACTTTAGTAAGGATTTCACATATATAATCTATAAAATGGATCATCTGTATGCCAATCAATCAACATTCTAGCAACTGTCAAAAGTCTAGAAATGTTTATATACATTTATTTTTGTTTAACACACAAAGCCAGATAACAATCTCACACATATGAATCAACTGGAGACTCCATCTTCATGACTTTTTCCTCTCCAAGAATTTGAAGAGATGTATAAAAATGCATGCTGTGCCATGTCCTATGCCACTGGATTCTGTAAGATACTTTAACAGTGAAGAATGAGGGAAATAAATCCTGCTAACCTGGAACTGTTGGAGCTTGGTCATCATCTCCTCAAGTTTTTGGCAATTTTCCACCAGCTGAGCTGATAATTTCTTCCAACGTCCAAGGATGCCCTCAATTTCTGATCGATATTTCTGACTGACTTCAGCAGGGGCTTTCTTGGACATCTCTTCCACAGTTGTGCTGAGATAGTTTAGGCCTTTTTGTTGTTCCTGCAGAGAACTTTGCAAAGCCTGTGATATGAAATGTGATATAAAATTGGGAACGTGCCATGCTATTTTCAACATACTTCTTTTTTTCAGATACAGTGAAACATTTTAAAGCAAAGACTTATAAATTCTAAGTCTCTTATATTTACTACAAACATTTATAAAACACTTCTACTAATAATTAATTTACAAAAAATGGCATACCAAATACTAAATATAATTGTATCTTTATCTTGAGTCTACTTAATAAGAAATACATATATTTGCTAATATGAATTATCTACATACATTCCCCATCACACAAGTCAAGGCATTGCCTGCTTTATTAAACAACTCATTATGAACCTAATGATTATACTTTCATTCAAAATGGAAGTCTGATCAATAAAAATGCATGGAGATGAGATGTAGCTGAACAGTAATTTCCCAGATATTTTTTAAATATCTGGATTTTTTAATCTATATACCGGTTTGAAAATTTGTGAAATCTTTACTTAAAATTTTACTTGTAAAAGCAGGTAATATTTCTTCCTTGTATTTCCATATTTTCTTTGGCAGCTGTATCAAACACTATACTCTTTAGCTACTGCATAATAAAACAATACTGAAGTCCAAATGCAGAGAAGCTTTATGCCCACTGGCAAAACTCATCCCACATCTGTCTTTGCTTGGAGACTTGACAGGAGTCGGGAGAATTGGGAGGAGAAAAGTATATGCCATGTATTTTTCATAGCACAAACGAGTGTTTTCTTGTATGCATTGGGAAATAAAACAAGCCAAATCTATGTTTAAGAACTATAAATATCTCTGTGAGAATCTTTTATTTCCCATACGGAGATGCAAATGTGATTCCTAAAGGTATTCAGAACCTTACCAGCATTTAACTGGCAAAAATCAGCCTTGGTGCTTTTTTCTTTAAAATTTACAACCTGTCATCATCAGTAAGTAGCCTCTCTTTCAGGCCCTTGGGCTAAGTCCTTAAGCCTTTCTCTAAAGCCCTTGGGTTAAATTGTCATGGCTCCACAGACTTCAGCAGAATTATGATAATTCAGAGCAGCTAAGGTTCCATCTCCTTGTGTTTTTCAATTAGCCTTTTTTTTTAATCTACTCTGTAAACTTACCTTTAGCTCCCTGAGTCTCTGCTCCATTATTTCATATTCAGTAACAGTAACCTGAGGTATAGAAAGTTTGGCTTCTGACTGCTGGATCCACAAAAGGATAGTGCTCAGTGTCTCCTTATACTGTGCAGGAGGCATACTGTCAAAAACTGCATTAAATTGGGGAGAAAAGGAGGAAGACATTTAAGCCACATCACACTTTATTTATTTCAATATAATTAATAACTTTGCTTTGGGTAAAAAACTGCCTTATTAAAGTCAGTGGGATTTCAATGGGACCAGGATTTCACCAGATTTGTAAAACATATATCCAAACAGGTGTTGAAGCAGAACATGTTTTAAATAATTTATTAATTCATCCTAATAATTAGGATGCATAGTGTATCTTCAGCTTGCTTTATTTTGACTCACTAATTTTGGTGTGGTATGGTAGTATGTAGTTGTAGGGCAATCAACTATAGGGCAAACTCCTTTTAAATTGCATTTATGTTTTTGTGTTACAGGAACTTAAGTTCAACTTTCAGAACTGCTGTAAGAAAGGTCATAACCATTTTTATAGCTCACGTTAGTGTGTTTAACGTATTTGTGAGAAGTAAAATGTTCTGCTTAGGACATCTGTTAAAAGCTTATAACATTAACGTAAAGAGAAATTGAAGTTGAGTTTTATTAGACTGTGCCCATTAAACTGACATTACAGATGTCCCAAATAGATAACATCTGGTGTAGACATGAGCAACTCATTAGTATAGTTGCTCCCTTCTGCCCCCAAGAATAGTTTTCAGTGCAGTCACTGAGAAATCACAAATGGATAACATGACTAGTTGGAAATAAAATATTTTCCAATTTGTATCATACTATATTAAGGAACTAAAACAGAATAAAAATGCTCTATACCTATTGTGTCACCAATATGCAGGCCTTTAAAAGCATTTAAAAAAAAAAAACTTTCACAGCTGCACAAAATATAATATTGATAAAGTACATATTTAAATAATGCTTTAAGTTCTAGCTTGATGATATTCTCATAAAACAATGATCAATAAAGCTTAGACAAGATTTTCAGGGTGATTCATTATTCTAAATGCCTCAAGTTTTGAATGTTCATCTAGAAACACTGTAAAATGGCGTGCTTTTCAGAAAGTGCTGAGCCCTTTAAACAGTCTTTCATTGAGTACTCAAAAATTGAGGTACATATATCATTTATAATTCTGAAAATCAAAACAACTTATAATTGTGATTGAATGGATTTTTGGGAGAAGTTTTTATTCTCAAAATTCCAGTCTCCACTAACATCCTTCTGAAAAAAAATATCAGGAGAACTTTTCCACCTTTGACAGCAGTAGGACTATTTTAAAACTTTTACTGTCACTTAGTTAAATTTATATTACTAAGACTTTTATTTCTTTAGTTAAAGTTATATTTTTAAAACTTTTATTTTCTTCGTTAAATTAATATTCTGACACATTTCTTATGAACAATTCCCATTGTAGGATATGTCATTCATTGGAACGCATCACTCCAAAAGACTGAAAAAAGAAAACATTACTTTATAATAGCTCATATAGGAAGGAAATACAGAATTCTTAATCCATATTTTGGTATAATGTGAAACACAGTTACTTCAATCTAATGTAATCTTTCACCCTTATAAATAATGGGGTTCTACTTTTGTAGAAGCTCAACAGTTTATAAGTTGACAACATCAACTTTTCAGGCTACAGGCACATTTTATTGCAATTACATAAAGGAATACCTCTGGAATAGAGCTAAGAACTAGATACAAATGTATGTCTGGCAGGGCACTGTGGGTGCCTGCCACTTTAAGGGCCTGAAGCTAGCAGCCGCCAGGTGCCTGATAAGGGCAGCTATTTTGGACCTAGGGCTGCCCATATAAACAGGGAAGTTTTGCTGCTGGAGGCCAGGCAACAACATCACCTGACTGCAGGGCTGGTGCTATCAGCTGGAGGTAAGGGAGGAGCTGTAGGGGATGGTCAAGAGGCTCCTGGTCCTGTGTACGACCTAAAACTGCACCCTGCCAGGAGTGGGTGGCCTGATGGGGCAAACCCTGTGGTCCTGAGTGAGGGAGCAGTCTGGAGCCTCAAGTGAGGGGGGGCAGAAATTAGGACCCCAGTGAGGGGGTAGCCCCAGCAAAGGGGGCCAAGATCTGTAGCCCCAAGTGAGGGGCAGTGTGGTGGAGCCCCAGTGAGGGGGTAGCCCCAGTGAAGGGGGCTGAGATCAGTAGCCCCAAGTGAGGGGTGGTGTGCTAACCCCAAGTGAGGGGCAGAGTTGTGGAACCCCAGTGAGGGGGTAGCCCCTAGTAAGGGGCAGAGATCTAGAGCCCCAAGTAAGAGGGGTGATGTGGAGTCCCAAGCAAAGGTAGTAGGCCCAGGTAAGTCTTCAGACACCCGAGGCTGAGGTTTGGACTGGAGGTTGAGTAAAGGGGGCTCAGCCCCAGAGCAAGAGAGGTGAGTCCTGACCCTGATAAGTCCTCCACTGCTGGGAGGCAGAGTGTGGGTTGAAAGTAACATTCAGAGTAGCACCACAACCTGCTGCCCTGCGGGGGGGGAGTGAGAGTCCCCTGTGAGACCCTGGGGCACCAGTCATGGTGTGAGGTACCCCAGCTCCCCACATCCAGGAAGGGGGACCCGGAGAGAGTGTGGGCCTAGTGAGACCAGAGGTAGAGTGCCCCCTCGACTGGCCCATGCGAGGGCTAGGACTGAGAAGGTCAAAAGGGCCAGGTGCCCACCGCGAGGGATGGGAGGCATGCCTGGAGGCAGGTGGGAGGCTGGCGATGGCTGGCTTGTGAGAAGCCCACTTTGCCACAGTATGAATGGTGCTGTTAACCTATTCTACATAAAGTTCTCTCTCTTGCAGGAGCTGGGTCGAACAACACCCTCCAACTCTTCCACTTCCTAAGGCAGGCACAAGTCACATTTGAATTTGGACACTTTGCAACAAAACATGGACAAGTTTGTGTCATTCTGGGCCACTGAGGAGGACCTCTGTAAATGGAAGATGGACAGCTGGTCCTACATGTACAGCCCCATGATGGGCATGCGGAGAGGAGGTTCACTCTCTGGTGAGTGTTTCTTTCCTGATAACAAGGGTTTCATGCTCAGCCCCTGGGGGGGCCACACACCTTTGCACTTTCACCATTTGTTTTTAATATTTGTATAATAAAAGTTGAAGAAGTCAAAGTCACTCTCACTCTCAAGTTCCTGATAAAGCACTTAAGAGAAGTGGTAGAGGCTATGACCTGGGGTGCAAGAACTGGAGCCTACTTCCAAGAAATTACAGAGGCTGATGCCCCAGCCAGGTTCTTTTTCAACCTAGAGAAAAACACTCAGAACAAAGTATCATCAGTCACCTTACAACCCCACTGGGCCAGGTGCCTACAGTCTCTGCTGAGATCCTAGAGTATGTCATTAGGCACTACAGGGAGCTGTTTGCAGCTAAGCCTGCCTGCCCTGAGGCCATTCAATGCCTGCACAAGGGCCTCCCTAAACTCTCCATGTTTGAGGCTGATGAACTTGACCAGGAGCTACCCCTGGAAGAACTGACAGCAGCCATTGAAGATCTCACCACGGGGAATCCTCCAGGCCTTGAAAGATTACCCATCAAGTTCTCCAAGACTTTTTGGTCCCTGCTGGACTTAGACCTCTCATGCATCTTTCAGGAGAGTCCCAAAGATAGGATCCTTCTGGTCAGTTGCTGGCAATCTGTGCTCATGCTGCTGTCCAAAAAAGAGGATCTCAGTAATAATAAAAACCGGTGACCAGTATCGTACCTGCATACCAATTGCAAAATCCTGACCAAAGCCCTGGCCAGCCGGCTCAAAATGGTCATAGCCTGTGTTAAGCTCAAACAGAGCTACTGAGTGTCACAACCCAAAAGGTGTGATTTTTATTTGTGTGCGCTTCGTCACTGCTAAATTGTCCCCGCTAAATTGCAAGCTTCCTTGCACGGTGGAGTTTTCTGCTGCAAAAGAGAATCCCGGTGCAAGGGAGAATTTCCCGCCGATTTGAAGCTTTCTTTGCAGGGTGCATTTCTTTGTTGCAGCACAAAAATGCTCATTGCAAAGAGTTCCCGCCATTTGTATGTAGATTTGGGTCCCATTATTGGCCAGTTCTAAATTATTCACACGTGACGGCTAGTGATTGGCTTCCTAGCCGTATAAGAGGCTTGAGTGGTTTCCGCCCAAGTTGGAGGACTCCACGAACAAGGGAGGAGGAGACTTCACGCTGTGTGAAGATCTCTAAGCGCTGCGGATCCTCACGGACCCAGTGCATTTGAAGCAGGCTACGGAGATCTGATCAATCTCTAGCCTCTCCCCGTCACCGATAGAATTCCTAGACGTACCCCACCCGCGCGCAAAAGAACTGGACCCACGGAGCCTAGCAAACTTCGTGTGAGTTGGTTCAGAGCTCTTCCGGACGAGTACTTTCTTCGGCTGACGCGACGGGCTCGCGTGTTCAGAGCCTTCAGCCAGATTGGGCTAGAGTTCATGAGTCTAGAACTCTTGTCTGCCTCTTTCCTTTTTCTTCTCTGTAACTGCAACTGAAGCAAGCTTTCCAGCCTACACCATTGCCATCTCGGTGTAAGTAAACAATCTTTTAAACTACCGATACGCGTCCGTGCCTAATTCCAGAGCGAAAGCCACCCCTCTCCGCCCCCGCGTGCCCGGGCTGCTGGCCACAGCCCGCGTGCAGCGCGAAAAAGGGCTCGGGGCACACCCGGCCCGCACACTGAGTAGCTAGCAGAACCATCCAGGACAACTTGTTTCTGCTATGTGACCTGATAGCAGCCACAGAACACTTCGACCTGAACATCAACCATGTCTCCCTGAATCCAGAAAAGTTCTTTCATTGGGTGACCAAAGACTTCTCATTCTGGACTCTGGAAGCATTTGGTTTTGGGCCTGTCTTCACCTCAACCACAAAGCTCCTGTACCATAACATCTCAAGCTTCCTAAAGGTGAATGGAAAGCTACATGCCCTGTTCCTAGTATGCAGAGGCATCTGACAGGGCTGTCCTCTCTCTAGAATCTCTATGCCCTAACCATTAAGCCACTGCTCCATGCACTGCAGCAATGCCTGATGGGCTTGGCCATCCCATCAGCCCCAGACCCAGACCCAGCCACTGGCTCCCC